CGATCGAGTAGACATATCGCGAATTCACGTGCCGATCGGCGGGATATTTTAAGTTCAATTAGACCGTCGCCAGTCAGGCCGAATATAGAATCAACGCTCGCCATTTCGGAGCGAGCCTCCAGCGTGCTAGCTAATGCATCTGTAATTTCCCGCATTTATATTTCCGAATCAACGGGATAATATCGGCGAATAATGAGAATCTATAATGATGCCGAATCTCTAATAAGACTGAAGTCACGCGAATATGCATCAGCTGCAAACATCGAGTTCACGAAGCGATCGATGTTCATTATGTTTTCGTCTATCGACATGCATTCTTACACACAGAAGACTACTATATCCACATAATTCTATGGTTAGAGAGAAAATTTATATGATTTCAAGTGAAATAGGTATGACATTAAAAGTTGCTGTTGTTATATACCCATTTATATAGTTCTCACATCATGTTTCCTGATAAATATCCTCTCCTCACAGTTTCATATCATAGCCTCGACAAACAGATAATTATCCGAACAAATAACACTATGTTACAAGATTTTGCACTTTTGCCATAAAGGTTCGTTCTTTAGTAAATCAGGTGTGCTGAATACGACCACGAAATCACGGTATGACAGTTCTCATAATTTTTATGATATATAATGTTCAGTTAGTACATCCTCGTATACATAGTTGCCTTAATCAAAGGAATATTGCAGTCTTTTTGTTGTGGTTTGTAGAACAAATGGTTGAAAGGTCCGTACAGTTTGATTGCATCGTACTACACTGAGAGTACTACTCAAATACATATGAATAGGCAGTAAGGAAGGTACTGTGGATACTACAACTATCTTGTATTCATGGGCGGAAAATAACATTAACATTTTGTTAAAGCAATCATATTTAACCATTTAACGGCGGGAGTGGTCGATATATCGACCAGCAGTCAGGTTGGCGACTCCACATAAAAAATTCATTACATTTATAGCTAAATTTCGCGTAAAATAAGAAGTCGATTTCAACTGAAATTCATTTCCGCCGTTAAAAGGTTAAGCAAGTGATATATTGTATTTTCACTATGAACCTCGATGTGTTCTTTCTCGAATATAATAAAGATCATGAGTGTCCACCACACGTCCAAGCGAACGAGGAGCAAGCACCGATTTTGATTCGCTCTCGCCGACGCCGCGCGAAGAGATCACTCAACGACGTCCTGAAACGACGCGCCGCTGAATCCGCTGGGGGAGAAAAAAAAATGCAGATCCCGACGGATACAGCGGAGCGCCGTTGTGGGGCCTCATTGCGATTTCATGGTCCTCCTGGAAGGAGACCGCGACGGCCGACCGGCTCGTTTCGAATGCTACAAATGTGCCGAGCGCGCGCGCACGTTCAGGTGCTGCTCGAGTAGGTGCTGAAAAAAATCACGTCTGCATTTACATAAGCGCCGGTATAAACCACTCGACAGAGAAATCCCGACATAAAACCCAAACAGGATCCCAACGCGGGACAGCACATCCGTTGAATACGCAATGGCCGTATGTAGCCGATGTACACATTCCCCCGCCCTTACCCCCTACCGAAAAATGCTTTTATTATTCACCGGTGAATTACGGACGCCACGGTATACGCGTTTTCCCCGGCGTTTACAGTCGCGCTGTTTACGCGGTTCATCGACGACGTCTTGGCGACGTGGCGACGGCATCGATTGTTCTTTTCCTCTGTTGTTTTCTCTCTCCTCACGGTCCCACCGTGGGAATAGATTGTCGTTATTCAATCTTGTTACTCGCGTTTTTATGTGAAATTTATCTGGGAGCGATTCAACAAATATTAATAAAGCGGACGCGAAACTTTTGTAGAGATAAAATCATTAATTTTTTAAATCATCAGAGCTTGTATTAATAGTCGTTACTTGAAACTACGTCTCGAGTGAGATTTGAATTTAGAATTAGATGTGAAACTTTCAATTAAATCGCGACTGAAAATGTAATGTCGCATAATTATATGATTCGAGTAAAAAATTCAAATCTAACTCTGAAGACCGTATTAATAGTCCTTGCTTGATTCAAATAAGATTCTCATATTTTTATATTCATAAGTTTAGAATCAAATGTTTCAGTGAATGTTTCAGTGGAAACGCGTTTGCAAAGTACAGTGTCACGTATATCGCGTGTTTCAACTGGAAAACTCAAACTCAACTCTAAAAAGTTATTATTATTATATTGTTATTAAAATCTGAGTATTTCTCACGCAAGTGAGAATACAAGTTTCAAGTAACGACTACTAATATAGAACTAAAACCTATGGTAATAGTTACTTGAAACTTAACTCAAGTGAGATATTTGAATTCAAATTTAGAGTTGGATGTGAATTTTTCAGTTGAATCACGATTAGAAATATAACGTTACATATATCATATGATTTCATTGAAAAGTTCAAATCAACTCTAAATTTAGATCTGAATGTCTCAAACAAGTTTCAAATAACGACTATTGATAAAGGTCTGAGAGCCTATTAATATAAATATATTATATATAATATATTAATAGTATATATAATATATATATGTACATATATATATACTATTATATATATAGAGAGAGTATATATAATATATTAATATATTAAATATAATATATTAATAGTTGTCACTTGAAACTAGTCTCATGTGAGATACTCAGATTTTCTTTTAAAGTTAGCTATAAGTTTTTCACATCTAACTCTAAATTCAAATCTGAGTATCTCACTGGAAACACAGTTTCAAGTAACGACTATTAATACGAGCCTTGGAGAACGGAAGTGAAGGTAACGTACGATAGAAGGGAGGAGGAGCGTTCAAGAAAAGTGAAGATCAATTCTATCTGAAGTATCTGCAAGAGGCAAGAGGCTTGACATGTCCCAAGGATGCGACTTCGAGTCTCGCGAGCCCTTCTTCTTCGACGAGACAAATCGCGCGAACACGCCCGTCATATCGCGATCGATACACGCGGAAACGTATAACGTCCAGAGAGTGATGTTCCCGGCACCTGACAGGAATTCTCAAGGCTCGCGGATCCTGACGAAACGATTTTCGTGTCCCTCGTGGATCTTCGATCCATTGTGGCGCACAGTGGAAGCGCCACCACCGCCGCCCCCGTTTTTCATGGCTCTTTAGCATTTCCGGCGTAACGTCCTTTATGCGGAGGACGCCTCCCCTCCCCCCCTCCGAAAAGGGCGCGGCAGAGAAAAAATTGACTTTTAAACCGGCAATAAAAACGAAAAATGCGAAATCTTTGATTTTAAAGGCCCCGCGCCAGCGCGCCGCACCCCTCGCACGGGGGCGACAGTTGGTAGATGCGTATAACCCTCGGTGGCAACCTTATTTCTCTGATATCGCAAGCCGAGCACGTTCGGTACCTCACCGCCACCGTCCCGAAATCCGCGTGCACCGCCGGTATGTATATCGTGTTGGATTACTGCAAAATCCCGGACTTTTATACGCTGAATTTTAAAATACACTTCGGCGCCGTCTCTGATTTTATTCGCCGACATCCGGGAATGGACAGATGTCGATGCCGATGCGTGTGTCAATTCACTAACGATTTTCTATAATGTGTGTGTCGCGAGAACACACGGCGCCATTGTCCGCAACGTTGATCATGACAGTGTTACGCTTAAGACTTGGCGTTTGAATAAGTCGCGAAGGAAAATCGGGTATGTCGAGGCGCGCGTAAGAGCGGAGTAAGAAGGAGAGAAAAACGCGCTCAGAGCTCCGGAATCGCGGTAATCCGAGCGCGATGCCTGCGAATCGACTGAGAATTTACATTTAAGTGCCCAGGAAGACGCCCGAGGAAGTCGGGGGTGGCGCGGCATTTCGCTACTTGTTTTTATTTTCTCGCAATTTCCTCGGCGGAGCAGAACGGAAAGTGGCCTTAAAGGGAATTAGCACGTTTTACCGCTCTGCCTATCTCGCGCCCGAAATTTCGTAAGCGGAATCTCTTTTCCCTCGGCCATTTGTAAGCGCTGCAAATCGACACGTTAACGATTGTCATCGTTTAATCACGTCGCCTCCATCGCACATATATCTGTTTATAAGTGGCTGTAGTTGCGTAATACAAGAAAGATCTAACCACAGAAGACGTTTCGAAAAAGATGAAGATGACAATTTTACACATGATTTCAAAAGTACAGACAGTACTAAAGTTCTTCGTAATTGTTCAAATCAAGCATCTTTTTTCTTTCTAATTTTCTTCTTTTTATTTTAATTTTCTTTAAGGATATTTAATAATAAACTTAACCCTTTAAGAACTCTTAAGAAAATAGGTAAAAAATGATACAGCTAATATAAAATAAAAATATATTTTAATAAATTTTAGGCGCCCGTAAGGCTTGGATCTTTTTTGTTTCATGTAGGAAGACGTATGGACTATCTATTGATAAAAAAATAATAATAATAAAATAAAAATTGAAGAATCACTTGTGAGTTGGATCATTCTTGCATAACTGTGGGCGAATATTCGTACACAGAGAAAAATAATTTTGCTCTTTTAAGCAAAATCGTCGTTGCTGCATATTCGTAGTGACATCAAAAAAATTTAGTTGACGTAACTAATTTTACAAATTATTCGTTATTAGAGCAGAAGTAGTTTCGTTTCCAGGATAGAAAAAAATTATTGAGTGTATTTGTCCTAGGAATTACGTTAATTTGCTATTGATGCAAAATAATGTATCCTTAGCAAATTTATTTGCTATCGGAACAATACTGCAACTGCTTATATAGATCGTGGTTCTTACAGCAAAATAATTTGTAAGATTCAGCAAATCACATCCAGCAAATAACGATTAGTACTCTTAGCAAATCTTTTTGCTGTCCATATAATAACGAAAAGATTTTGCTAGACCAGCAGAAAATTTGCTGGGCCAACAAATTATTTTTCTCCATGTACACATCACGTTTCTAAACGGTTTCTAAATTTCATAATTGTAGGAAAATGTTCCTCTCCGTTTCAGCGGTATAATGAGGTTTCGAATCTTTGTGATTGCAGATTTTGCGTGGGTGACAGATTTTATCTCTGTGATAACAAGATTCTCTGCGAGTACGATTACGAGGAGAGGTTGGTCTTCGCTAACATGGCTCTGCATCCGCCACCCAGCGCGACACTGGCGCACATCAAGAGGCAAGTGACTCATCTTCAGCCACAGGTGAAAAGTTTACATTTGTTCCCAATGTCAACGGGGCAAGCACACGCAGGATTGCGATATCGCGCGACTTACGGCGCCACATGGTCACGGAGTGTATATCGCGCAAGCCTATCTATCGGCAGATGTATTTTCGTCACGAGATATTCCGTGTAAAATACCACTATAGAGAGTGCATCGCGGAGTCTCCGTTCCCGGACCCTGGCCATCGGGTTTCAAACTCGCAAGGTTTCCAACTTCTCGAGGCGCAACCCCTTAAGGCGGGTTAAAGTGGCAGGTCCTGACCCTCTCGACAACAAAGGACTCCCCCGAGGCTTCAGCTACGCTTTACCATCCTGCCGTCGTCTTACGAGTTAGGATATCGCGTGTCCTTATTAATTAAGCTCACCCGTTAAGCAAGCCTCGTCGCATGCCTTAACGATTCGCTCCGTTCCCCGGTGGAGGTAGAACGTGCGAAAGAATTTACTCTTCGGGAGGATCGCCAAGCTGCCGGCAGCTATTCCGTCGTGGTACTACGAAATCGTCGGGGAGACCGTCGTGACTGCACTTTGCATCGCGTCGTCGCGAGTCCCCGAATAAGCTTGGAATACGCTCAAAGGAACGTCGGGACAGAAATGTGCAAGTTAATTTCATTTGCGTAATCGTAAGGACAGCTTAGCTCGATGTCGGATTAAATAATTGCAGCGAGAGCGAATATAAGATTGTGATAATAAGGGGATAAGCGCGCGACAAGCGATGAAGAGAGACGATCCTCACGTTGCACGGCAACGTCCAGAATTATGAACTCATCGGCGTTAAGCTTGTTGGGATTAAGCCTTCTTGATTATCCTAAGGCAACAGACTTGCTTCGAAACAATATCTTAAGCTCCCGCCTCACGAAGGACCACGTCCTGCTCGACCCTAGGAGCCTATCCATTTAATCCGGGTTCCGTCTTGCAAGAATCCCGCCGTCTTCGTGCACATAATAACGTCACGTATTTTAATTCGCGATATTTATGCAAAAGCTACGCGACTGGTCAGCCGCGCGATTGAGAAAACCGCTATGTTCATATCTTTGACGTCGTCAATACGATAAAACTCATGCTCCATCACGTTTTATTGACATTCAAGGTGACGAATGATAGTCCAAGCGGACGAAGATTTCGTGAACGCGAAGTCTCTCACACTGAGAGAAAAATATAGTTGCTTTTGGCGACAACTATACTCTTTTGTAATTTTAACCATAAAAATACTTAGGAAAACCATTGTTTCAGTAAGTGTTATTAGAAAGATGGTTCTTCTAATTATTTTTCTGGTTAAAGTCAGAAAAAAGTATAGCTGACGCCAAAAGCAACTATATTTTTCTCTCAATGCACCTGAGACGAGCGAGGCCGAGTTCTTAAAGGCATCGAAAAATATAGCTGACGCCAAAAGCAACTATATTTTTATCTCAATGCACCTGAGACGATCGAGGCCGAGTTCTTAAAGGCGTCGAAAAGTATAGCTGACGCCAAAAACAACTATATTTTTCTCTCAGTGCACCTGAGACGAGCGAGGCCGAGTTCTTAAAGGCGTCGAAAAGTATAGCTGACGCCAAAAACAACTATATTTTTCTCTCAGTGCACCTGAGACGAGCGAGGCCGAGTTCTTCAGCCGATGGTACATCCCTGCTAAAGATATCGTCGTTTCTGTTATTGGCCGACGGGTGGAAAGGTTACAATGAAAGTCGCCGCGAAAGTTCGAGGCCTCGGGACGTCTGCGAGCGGCCTGAGGTCGTAGATGCTCGCCGCACGCTCGAATTGTACGCATGCACAGAATAACGAGGTCCCCGGCGCGATGATATCAAGCGCGGTAACGTGTACTACTTATAATATGCAAATTCGCTCCCCTTAACCGGCTCGCCGGCGAGCTGCGTGTAATTCAGGGGTTGGTAACCCTTGCGACTCTATTCCTACCGCCACGTAAGCGTCGCGCGCTCCTCCGCGCGTACGTCGACGACGATGTGCCTGTGTCTGTGTGTATGCGCGCGGGTTGGTTATAATGTTTAAAGAAATATCGGCTGGCACGGGAAAGAGAGAATGAAAGAGAGAACGGGATAAGCGACTGTGTGTACCGTGCAAACATTTTTCGGGAACACTCACGCGCGCGCGCGTAAATTTTTCCCTCGGCGCGGTGGAGAGGTGTCTCGAGCCTTGAGCTTCGACTCGCCGCCACTCGATGTGTCGCTTTAATTAATACGAGGATACCTTTATTGCCCCCGATGCGCACGCGCGCACGCGGCGGCGAGATCAAATTTGTTTTTTTGCTGTAAATTTCCGGTATCGTCAACAATCGGGAAAAATTGGCACGTCCGTGGTATGCTCCGATATTGCGCGATCCAGCAGCTTTCACACGCAATATCGATTCGCTCGAGGGGGTTTACGGGTTATAAATGACCGGTGTGCGAAATAACGGGATGGCAGACTAATACCAATAATCGGCGTGGCATGCTAATGTCGTCTGCGCATCTATTACGCTAAGCCTGATGGATCCCTCTTGACATCTCGTGCCCGGAGCGTGAATACCTTCGATCGAGGAGAACACTCAAGATGTCTGCCGTTCTGTCGCCTAGCCGAGGGTCGTTTGACATTTTGCATCTAAATAAGAGGAATTAACGCGTACGTACGTACACCTTTCGTATCGCGATTAAGTTACCTTGTAAACGCATCGTGTACGGATTAATAAATCGAAAGAGAAAAAGAAAGAAGTGTTAAGCTTTGGAATAATATCCCTTCAGGCATCCAAGTAGGAAAAGTACAATGTATATGTAAAAGTACAGCGAAAAGAAAAGAAAAAAACATAGCGGATATAAACGCAATGATATAAAGTTACAGATGGAGAAATAAATAATATAAAGAGAGAAAAAAGGAGAGAGAGAAAGACAAAGAAGAATTGAAACGCGATGGAAATATCAAGCGATAAAATGGTGATATCTGAGCGCAAAGAGCAACTTCAGAAAGAAGATAACGCCTGGATTTATCGCTTCGAAGTACCGTGACAAAATACAAAGATGAAATTGAGAGCACCTATAAAGTGCGAGAAAGAGCGAGAAAGAGAGAGAAGAGAAATACGGGCGGAGGAGGAAGGAGGAAAGGCGTTAAGATTCTTAAAAACCGCGAAGAGGGTGCTCGTCTTGGAGGCAGCTGCCACCCTTGTACTCTCCTTAAGCCGTGGCTCGTCGGGGGCGGCGAAGTACCGCCGGCGGAAGGTGGGGAACGGTAGTTTTTCTGATTGCCTGAGAACAGACAGCTGTCCCAATCTTTCTCAGCCCTGACGGGATCCTCCGCGCTTCTGGCGAATAATGCCGGGGAGTGTTGCTTGCGAATAACTCGACTACGCCTGATCCGGGGTAAATCGACAGCGGTGGGATGGAAGGATGAAAGGAAGTGGGCGGCTGGGCCGCCTTTAGTTGTCGGCATCGACAATCGAGTTGTCACGACAGAGAAGCGGATGACGGATCGTTTCCGATATCATCACGTCGAGCCGTTTTATCGCGTGTTAGAATTGCGTTACAATCTCCTTTGCTGGGTATTCACAACCTGCGTATTCGCGTCGTGTTATTAAAAACAAAACACCGGATGATGATAGATCTTGCAATTACAGCTACAATTCAACGGCTCGGACTACTCCGGTATTGAAGAGGTGTCGTTGCCTCTGCGTAGCCAGAGCTAGACAGAGGAGACTCGCGGAGCTTCATTTCTCGACGAGAAGCTTCGATCGAGCCGCGCAATCTCATCCTCCTTAGAGACAAGTGTAACGCGCTTAAAAATTGGCGAGAACTTTTATTTCGGTCTAATTTTTCCCTCGGGACCCGGCGAAATGCGCAGGAGGGGAGATGAAAGGGGGGATATAGACACCGGGTGTAAAAGCGGGAAAGAGAAAGACACGCCGAGAGTTTGGAACGATTATCTGAGTTTTAAAACAAACTCTCGAGTGTCTGCGAAGTCCTTCGCGAATCAGAGGGGGAGGAGAGCCAAGGAAGGCTGGAAATAAGGAGACTGAAGGGTGAGACGAGCGGCGAGGGGGAGGTTAGTGGAGGTGAGATAATATGCTAATGCCAGGACGGAAGGTACATGGGAATTTAAGAGGATCAATGCGCAGTACGAGATTCGTACGGGGAATGAGGCATTACAACGTCCTCTATATTGCTTCCGGGCGATTAGATTCCTGAAAAGTTGCTCAAACGCGAGCGACTAATTTCGGCGAAATTAAACTTTCGACTTAACCTCACGGTTTTATTGGATCTGTGCGCTCAATATCCATTTGTTCGGGGAACGGAGACGGGCTGAAATGAACGCGCAACGGAACGATCGGGCTTGACGGATTTAAGAAGTTTATGGTCCTGCATTTGCATTATTTGAGGATGTCCAGCACATTTCCGATATTTTCTTGATATATTTTTCATTTCTCACATGCAACCTCACGACACACATACGCATGAATTTGGCAGATGCAAAGAACACGATTGTATTAATTGAGTTATTATCGCAACAGTCAAGATTTTTGTATCGGGAACTTTCATGAGAGAATGCGTGCGTCTCACTAAACGATTTATACAGCCGTCGTTATCGATATGGCGTGAACAAACGCGACCGATTAAAAATAGTTGCTCCGATATGAATGGAATACTTAGCTTCCATCAGGGCCGATATATCGTATGCATTAGAATACCCGAATAGAATGTGTCAGAATAGGATATGATACCATTAATAATAATTAATGTAGCGCACGGTTAATCCCTCGAAATGTAGCGTTTAGCGAAATGGACGTGCATCATCGTAATGCAGTACTATACAGGACCACGGAGCGTATTCCCACACTGAACAAAGCCATTAGTCCATCATTAATCCTTCATTGTAGATACTCTATCGTTGCGCGCTGGTACGATCTGTTTAGAATTACATCAGAGGATGTCATGAAATTACGGAAAATCAATAACCCTCTCGTGCGGCCCGATACTAATTTAAAGAAAAAAAAACACGTTC